TCCCCTTTCTCCGTCTCTGTGCCTTTCTCGCCCTCACTTTCTCCCCTCCTGCCTGCCTGCTCGCCGCTCCCTGCGCCCGGCCTGCCCCCACCGCCGCCGGTTCAGGGGAACGAGTGCGGAGCGATTGTCCTGGGGGACATTTGATGGATTAGAGCGCTGAACAGTTCCATTGCTGGAGGACCACCTGATCTCCTCCAGCCCGCGTCCCATATAAAGCCGGCAGCCGGAGTGCTGAGCACAGCTCCAGCGGTCGTCTGTCTGCGCGCCGCCGCCGCCAAGCCGGAGCCGGAGCGAGAGCCGAGCCGAAGCCGGAGCCGGAGCCGGAGCCGGAGCCGCCCCGCGCGCCCGCTGGGAGCTGTCCAGTGCTGAAACCCCGCGCGCACAGCCAATCGCGCCGGCGGCCGCCGCCCCCCGCCGGAGCCCCCCGCGAGCGCCCCCGCCGAGCCCCCCGCCGGCCGCGCCATGCCGCGCTCCTTCCTGGTGAAGAAGATCAAAGCGGACGGCTTCCAGTGCAGCGGGGTGCCGGCCCCCACCTACCACCCCTTGGAGACCGCCTACGTGCTGCCCGGCGCCCGGGGGCCGCCCGGGGACAACGGTGAGTGCGACGGGGCTCGGGCCCTCCCCAACTTGGGCCGCGAGGAGGGGCGCGCGGCGGGAAGCCCGCGGGGGAGGCCTCTCGGGCCTGGCCCAGTGCGCCCCGCGGACTTTCCGGGGCCCCGGAGGGCGGGGCGGGGGCCGAGTGGTACAAAGGGAAAAGTCGCTGGTCGGCGTATCCCGCATCCACACGCCAGCACCCCCCATCTCCACGCCTCCCCCCCCCCCGACTTGGAAAGTTGTGGCCCTAGCCCTGGGCTGGAAGGACGGGGTGGGTGAGAGCAGACAGACAGGGAGCCTGGGAAGGGCCGTTATAGGGGTGCTACCTCACGAGACAGTTTGGGGGATACCCTCGGCGTGGCGGAGGGAGGCTGGCTGCCGGGTGCGCCCTCCTGTAGAAGAGAGGGCAAGGACTGAACTACCAGTCCCGGGAGAGGCGAGCGCCTGGGGGGAGGGGGCGCTGGGGGACCCACCCTCCCTTCAAACCTGCCCCCCCCACCCCCGCAATAGCAAGCAAGTGCTCCAAGAACCCCTCGCAAGAACTCTTTTGTTACCCTCAGCCACATGCCTGTCAAAGGCTGGGGTTGTCCTGGGGACTGCAAAGAGAAGGGGGTTCTGGGAAGGGTACCCCTAAAGTGGTTCTTGTTCCCTTGGACTGCACTCCCTCTCCTTTCCCAGCTTCCCCCCCTCCCAGCAGTCAACCCTGCTGCTCCTTGTAAGTCACCCCCTCCCCTCCCTCCCCCCAACACATACTCCATCTCTTCTCAGAGCAAGTTCCTGCGGGGACAAGGGCTCGGGGGACAAGAGGTCGTCCAAAGGGGCTGACCTCTGGGGAGGAGGGAGCAGGGGAGACTGCTTCCATGGGGCACCATCCTGCACCAAGGGATCACAAAGAGGCTCCCGCTGATAGCCCCGACTAGGGCAGAAGCGTGGAGAGGAGGAGTCGCTTCCATACTGAAAGATCTGACATCACGTGTAGCATCAGCTAGAGAGAGAGAGAGAGAGAGAGAGAAAGGGCTAAGGATGTGGGGTGTGAGGATGCTGAGATGGCAAAGACTGGTGTCCCAGAAGGTGGTAGCTTCCACCCTAGGGTTTTCCAACACTACTCCCACATTCCATCACTCTGCCAAGTCAGGTAGAGCGATGGTGCTGGGCCCAAGGCTCTGTGACCTCATCAAGGTCAAAGAAGTTAAGGAGTGATCTGGGACACACGGCCCCTCAGCCCTAGTCTCCCTCAGCTACCCAACAGAACTCCCTTCTGTTCTGCCCCCAGGTCCCTTCTTCTCCTGTCCTCTTTCCTTGGCCCCAGGGCTTATGGAAGACAGCCCAGAGGTTTGGCTAGGTGAGGGCTGGCAGGACTGAGGGTAGACCATGTGCTGGGAGCTGGCCAGCATGAGGCAGTCTCTGCAAGTGTGGGTACACTCCCCTAAGGCCGGACACCAAGCTTCCTGCCAGGCCCTCTAGATCCCATCCCCAGGCTAGCAGAGGAAACAGAGAAACCCTTCCCTCCCCACACAGCCCAAACTGCTGCTCCTGGGGAGGGAAGTCTTGCCTTGAGTTCAGTGCAAAAAGGCTCTGGGAATGAATGGTGGAGAGTGTAGAGGGAACAGTAGGGCCTCTATGGGGGTTCCCCTGGTTTGACACCCTGGAATCACCCTTTTCCCAAAGGGCTCAAAGCCAACTTCTGGGCCTCTGGGGAACCCTGGGGCTGTTCTGACGGACACACGCCTGCTCTGGGATGCAGGAGCCCTGGCTTCTCACTCTGGCTTGCTGTGTGACCTTGGGCAGGTGCCTTCCTTTCTCTGGCCCTCAAGACTCCCTGCAAGTGAAAGAGTTGGGATGTCACGATCTAAGCATCCTTCCAACTTTGACAAGCTCAGCTTCTGTGAAGGTCGAGTGTGGCGTGGGCACCGCAGAGCCAGGCTTTCACAGAAGGCAAGGCCGCTGGCAGGGTTCCCTTGGGACTCAGCTCAACATGCACCCTGGCAGAGGGTGGCAAGGTTTCTGGGATCGAGCACTTTTTTTCCTTCATGCTCTGCAGGCTGCCCCACAGATAAGACAGGACCCCTGACCTGGCCCCCACTGCAGTGACTGCTGTGCACAGTGCCAGAGACCTGGAGGTAGCACAAGCCTTGGCACACTAGAAGATGCGGGGCATGCCTGGCTTTCCTACTCGCAGGAACCTCTCCCCTACCCCGGCTGTGGTCCAGACGGGGCAGTGCAGGCTCCAGGGGGTGGGTGGGCAGGGGCCTGAGGGTCCTCCCAGAGCCCACTGGCTCTAGTGCCCCCGTTGTCTCCCGCTCTGCCGGAAATAACCTTGCTGAGCGGTTGAGGGAAGTGTGAAAAATTGCTGAGCCGACGTTTTTCTCTCCCAGCATGTGTAAGTGTGCTGGGTAAACAAGGAGAAAGAGCAGAGGGGGGAAATGAGGAGAGGGAGGGAGGAGGAGTAGGGGAAGGAGGGAGGGCCTGAGGCTGGAGATAGTTCTAGTTATTAGAAAGATCCTTTTACAAGCCATTCCTGCAGCTTGGGCTGCTGGGTCAGGATGAGCTGGTGGGAAGGAGACTTGGCGGTGGGGGAAGGGGGGGCTGTGAAGATGGAAGTCAGAGAACATCAGGATCCCAACTGATAAAGATGCAGGGCCCCAAATGAAAGAGGTGAGCACGCCCAGCTCTGGGAATGGGAATGGCAGACTTCCTGGATTCCTCTTCCTCCTCCTCCACCTTCTCTCCCCCCCCATCTCTCCCTCCCCCCCCCCTCTGCTTCCCACTCCCTCCCTTTTCAGCTTCTGTCACCTGGCAGGGAAAAAGTACAGCAGGTGTGTCTGGGTTCCATGTTGACCTCAAGCCCACAGAATCTCAGAAATAGGGAAGGGATACCTCCAATTGAGAAAAGCTCTTAGAAGAAGGGGGTGAGCTCCAACCTACCATCTTCTCCAATATCTCTCATGCCCCTGGCATTCCACTACTGATTGCTGACTCCCTGGAGCCTTCCCTTCCTCTTTTGAGTGGCTCTGAGCACAGATGCCTCTCTATGAGGTGCCAATTCACATTCCCCTATCCCTCCCTCCCCATAGAACCTCGCCCTCTGACCCCACCAAGCCACCCCAGCCAATCCTAGGCCTCCATCTGGGGTGATACTGGGACTCTCAGCCATTCCAGAGGAGGTGTTGTTTGTCCACCTGCATACTGATGATTTCCACAGATCCCCACCAAGGGCATCCCCCAGAGTGACCCTCCCCCTTCTCACACTTAACGCAAAACTCCAGCTGGGAGCAGGGCAGGCTTCCCTCTGCACTGAGTCCTGGCCTGCCCCCATGTCCTCTCAGAGTGCATCCAACCCTGGCCAATGAGGAATCAATGGCAATCCAATAAGGCAGTTGTCTGCCCTCTGCAGCTGCATTAGGCCTCCTCCGGCGGCTGGCCGAGGAAGCTCTCCTATCCTACCCATGGGCTTATCTAGTTGACGTTAGACCAGCTCCTGCTTCCTCTCCTTGCCTGATGGCGCCAGGGAGCCGATCCAGGCCAGGCCTGACAGCCCAGCCTAGCAGCCCCAGCTACTGCACATCTACAAGGCACCTTGGGAAGTCCCTGCGGGAGAAGGGATATAAATGGGCTTCCCCAATCCCTCAGCAAAGAAAAGGCTGGGAGGGGATGCCCAAGAACACACAGTAGGCCCATCTGCGTCTTCTATGATCAAGCTGCTTCTAAGGGAAGCATACTCAAGGTTCATACTCAATGTCCAGGTTAAAGACATGTCTAAAGTCCAGGTCCAATGTCCTACTTCAGTTCTAGGACCAGACCCAAACTCTAGGTCCAAGGCCAGTGTCTGGGGTTATAGGACCAGGTCTGAAATCCAGGACAAACCCAGGTTTACGTTTCAATGGCTAGGAACTGGTCCAGGTCAAGATTCTGGGTCTAGGATTAAGATTCATGTCTAGCACCCTGGCAGAGTATACCTATAATCCTAACTAATTGAGAAGCTGAGTTGGGAAGGTTTGTGGATCTAGGTCAGACCAGGTAGAGAAGTCCAGGAGACTCCTTGTCCACCAAAAGCTGGACCCAGTGGCTCATGCCTATTATCCTAACCACAACAGGAAGCCTATAAAAAGCAGGTGACCGCACAGGCATTCAATTCAGGCAGGAAGTGAGACCCTATCTCAAAAATTATCAGCACAAAAAAGGGCTGGAAGTGTGGCTCAGTGACAGAGTGCCTGCCTAGCAAGCACAAGTCCTTGAGTTCAAACTCCAATACTTGAATATGTGTATGTGTGTGTGTGTCCAATTTCCAGCCCAAGATCATGTGTGGATCCACTCTCAAATCTGGCTGGGCTCAATTCAGCCCCACCCCCTGGGTGTCCCTGGCCTTAGTTTCTCAGAAAACAGAGCAGCTGAACATGACCCTGATATCTTTCCAGCTCTGACTTTCTGAGAATTCAGAAGTCTGATTTTCCTGAGTTAGCAGGGCTTCATAGGAATGTGGAATAGCAGGGCCCATGACAGGTGTGGAACCTGAGGGGGCCTATGGTTCCCAAAGCAAAGAGAGCTGGAGGATGGGACCCAACGCCAAGTCCTATGCTGGCCACAACATACATAGCCTAGAGGCTCTCAGGCCACACACACACACACACACACACACACACACACACACTCACAGAGAGAGACAGGGTGGTCAGGAGGCTGCACTGTCTGCAGAGACAAAATAGGGTGCCAGAAATCACAAAAGCCTCACTAGTGGAACCAGCCACTCCTTCTGGTCCATGCTCTGCCCACACCTTCTAGACTCCCCCCTTCCAGCCTGGGGGCTCCCTAGGGGGCAGGGTGAAATACTACTGAGAGAGATGGGGCTCCCCAGATCTCTTGGCCTCCTTCCCAGACGTGGTCTCACCGGAGTGAAGTGTCTACTGCCAGCCTTCTTTTTTTTATTTTTAATATGTTTTTATTGTAAAAATACTGTACTGCCAGCCTTCTTATCTTTTTTGGGGGGGGGACAGGCCCCTGACC